GTCCGTAAATGGGCTAAAAAAAAAAAAGAGGGAGATGTTTGTTAAAATTTCCCTCATTTCTCTTGAGTAGTGGACATCAAAAATTAATTTACTTTTGCATAAAATAATGCAAGTAAATTAATTTTGAGGGGGCATTTGTAGGCATTAAAAAAAATGTCAAGATTAAAATATATTTGCCCTAATAAAAATCTTGAAAATTAGGGTAATAAATCTTTAAAGAGATATTTTCTCTTTAATTAAAAATAAATAAATATATTAAAATGACCAAATTATCCTTAAAGTGAAGGGTATTTGAGGTCATTTGGCAAAATTCCTTTGCCTATAAATAGGCCTTCATTTGATGAAGAAAAAGGAAAAAAAAAAAAAAGAGAAGAGAGAAAAGGAGAGAGGAAGAAGGAAGAAAGAGAAAAGGAGAGGAACAATGAGCTTCAAGCTCCCTCAACAATTCTCGAAGTTTTCAAGCCCCAACCTCCTGCCAAGGGTAAACTCTAAATCCATGTCAAGGAGAAAAAGTTTCAAGTGCAAGTCTTAAATCCCTTGAAGGATAAGAACAAGCTTAAGCCCTTGCCTTTCAGCCCCAACCTCTTGCCAAGGGTAATCTCCAAATCCATGTCAAGGAGGAAAAGTTTCAAGTGCAAGTCTTAAATCCCTTGAAAGACAAGAACAAGCTTAAGCCCTTGCCCTTTTAAAATTCAGCTGTTAATCAGAGGATCGTGCTGTTCTAAGACGTGTTACTCTTCAAAGCCTAAGCACGTGCATGGCAACACTCCAAATCAGAGATTGTTTCCCATTTTTCTTCAAGTTTATAATAATTTGTATTTATTTTGCAAATCAATACATATTATTTGATTTTGCAAATTTTGTAACTACACCTGTATCATGAGAAAGTGTAAAATATCACAAGTATACCACATCAATGGTATCCCAGACTTAAAAAAAAAAAATGCAAAAGGGGTATACCCTTTTTTTTAGGTGATTTCAAAATTTTCAATCTATTTGAAATCTTCTTTTCAATGCTTTTCTATCTTGATGATGAATTTAGAATTATCATGGCAAATTGGTTGACTAGGTTTATCTATGATTCTAGATTTGGTTTATTTGGCATAATTTCTATAAAGTTCTCAATTAATTATACTGGTTGAATGTGATTTTGTTGGCTTGGTAATTGAAAAGTAACACAAGTTATTGGTCAAGGTCTTCTTTGAGAATTTACAGATTTCATTGGAAAATAAAGATTGATAGTTTTATTTATTTATTTTTTCAAGAAAAAAATATTAAAAACAAACCATAATTTCAGCCAAAACATCATCAATTTGAAGTTTCATTAAATGTTTCTTTTGTGACCAAATATAAGGTTTTAAATTTATTATCTGAAAACAAAGTACTAGGCAACTAACATTACAAAAGAATTATCATTACAATGATCTCTTAAACCACAACAAAATATAACAAAAATAATTTAATGGTAATAGGATCTATTTTACTACTTAAGTAGCTAAAAATACACCAACCCAAAATATTTGTCATCATTTAAAATTCTTGTCTTGATCAAACAGTACCATTGCTTAGACAAGGTTCTCACTTGAAGTTGTAAATCTAACAGCAACATAAATTTATTTTGAGGATTCAAATCGATTTAAATTGCCTTAAAAGAGAAATTAATTTCTTAAAACTTTTTTTTGAGAAATATATACAACTAAAGAGAAAGAGAAACCCAATTTTGCATACATGCTCTCTTCTTCTGTTTTGCCAAGATGCCTTAGAAATTCCTTCTCACAATTATCGGTTCAACATCAAGATCCCCAAATCTTCATTGAGCACCTCCTAACTCCAACACGATATTGTTAATCATAGTAACAAATGATATAGCCCATGATTGTTTGTGACAGAACAAGCTTTTGTGACTAGAAACCGATGATCTTTATTCACTATGCTGAACCAATCAGAATGAAACTTAATCAACACATTATTATTTTGACATAGTTTAGAAACAGAAATCAAGTTACACAAGGCATGAGGTATACACAGAACATTTTTTAAGGTTAAAGGCTTAGTTTTGGTTGAAAGTGTGGTATGACCCACATGTGAAATAGTCAAACCTGATCCATCACAAGTAGTTCATCAGGCCCGTCATATTTTGAGTGAAGTGCCAACATGATCAGATGCTCTAGAATCTATCCACCAATCACCCTTTTTCAAAGTGGAGGTTGTAGCAAAGTTGGCAACATGGGCGTGATTTCTGAGCTCTATACAGTTCCTAGCAAAATGTCCAAAATTATTACACAATTGACAGGCATTAGTATTACAATTATTATACCTGTTGGAGAAATTCCAATTATTTTTTTCTTCCTCGAGCTCCACAGTGTCCTCGGCCTCCTCCACGGCCCATTGGAACATATCCATTAAATTGGTTGGTCCCAGATGCAGAATTGGGTCTATAAGTTCGGTTTGAGCACTCCTGGAGTCCATAAGAATTGTGATGACCACCTATTGAATTTCGATCACTAAAGCCACCATAGCTGTTGGGATTTCCAACTATGCGAGGATGCACAGAAGCAAATTGTGCTGTAATGGGTGTATTAGTATCATTGACAAGGGCCTCCTCTCTTTGTAAGGACTCTTCATGAGCTAGAAGTCTGTCTTGTAAATCTTCGAATGACAGTGGGGGTCCATCACGAGCTCGAATTGAAGCCTTGAATTCCCTGTATTCATGTCCCAAACCATTAAGAAGATAAACTTGAATATCATAGTTGCTTAGGGGTACCTTCTCTGCATTTCCAATCCGATCAATCAGAATTTTTGCAGTGTGAAGATATTCTGCTACCGCTTGGCCTTCACATTGAAGGTTTTGTAGCCTCTCTTTTAGTGCATTTATTCTTGTACGAGAGCCATTTGCATACAGCCTTTCAAGTATCACCCAAGCTTCATGCGACGTCTCAGCACTAGAGACATATGGGTGGATAGATTCTGATACTGAAGTCAGAATTGCATGTTGTATTGATTGATCTTGCCTCACCCATAGATCATATGGTGAGTCTGGTAAGTCATCCTCTGGAGGACATGGCCTGGTGCCCTGCAAAAAATCAGTCAGTCAATAAACTCGAAGCAGTGAGGTGAATTGTCGACTCCACATGGTGTAATTTTCGGAGGTGAGTTTGACTAGAAATTAGATAGCAACGAAGGCTATTATGTTGTTTGAACTGCTATTAGTGTTGATAACAGCAGTGTGGTTACCACAGTTTTGCCATTGCTTGATTGTTGGGTTTTAGATTCTGTGGTTTTGGGTGTTTCGTCGGCCATGGTTGTTGAGTACTAGTCTCGTTTGAGATTTTAGCTCTGATACCACTGACAGAACAAGCTTTTGTCACAGGAAACTGATGATCTTTATTCACAATGCTGAACCATGTATATACAAAAGTTTGTAGTTACACAAGGAAACTAAAGATATGTACAATAATGGAGTATATATGATTTTAACCGTGTGACTGATATGCTGCTTTAATACTGAATATATAGTTGCCAAGATAAGTCTTATTGCCGTGATTCATGAGCTGGGATTGCTGGTATTGATGATAGGATTTGTTTCCGTAATAGTTTGCCCCTAAACCTATTGTCTAAAATCGAGATGGAGAATGATGGTGCTGTGGCTCGTGACTTTTTGTCACAAAGGAGAAAGGGAAACGTTATAAACCTTACGGCTGTGGAGGCCTTTTTTTACAGTAAACAACGTATATGGCTTCTTAGTTTTATGTTAAATGCCTGCATTTATATGCTGATAAACTGGATAACTAATGTTAACGTCTTACATTTTTGTTTGTTTGGGATACCACAGACACCGTGACATTCTAGACTTTCTCCTATACCATTGCCCACATATATATACTCCTAATTAAGCGATGGGTATTAAATGTGGACGGTTAAGTGGGCTAACGGAATATTGGCAGCGAACGGAGCTGCGTTTTCAGTGTTTTGCGGATGCCTTAATTCTTGAATCAAGGCCTCAACGTCTGTCTGGAAAGTCGTTTCAATTTCGTCTTCCCGATAGGGCTGACCAGGATCCAATTACGAACCATGTGATTTTCTTGCCGCTGCCCTAACTTCAAGCTAAGTAATTAAGGCAATGCCAACAGAGCATGTTTTATTCATTAATTTGCCATGCTTTCCTAAATTCGATCTAGTGACAAAGAAAGCCTTAACCCATTCTCTCTATTTCTTGTTACCAGAACCAGTCTTTTAACATTAATTGCTTAGTTCGATTAGAGGGAAGGGAATGACAGGAAAGGAAAAGTGACTTTATTTCAATTTATTTCAACTAATGAAATAATTTAATAAATTATTGTGATTTTCTCCTCCTCTCCTCTCATTCCATTTCCACAAACAAAGCGGGTTATAAAAGAATTACCAAAAAAGAAATTATCTTGTAGTTGGAAATATTAACTGTTAGATGGTGAGCTCCTAATACTTAGTGTGATGGTTTTTTTATTTAATAACTGATATTAAATTACATAATATTAGTCTCGAAGAATTATTATCATTGAACCATATGAGACTTGAATTCAACATAGCTAATGAGGTTTGAAGTTGAAGGAAAGCCATGTATGGTCTAATGCATAACTTAAATTATTGGATTAGTGCTAATAAACACTTAAATTCCAGCTGTTTCCATTCAAATATAATTTGCTTCAAACTACAAGATCAGAAACTCCTTGTGCATTCATGCCATGATTTTACCTTTTTCTTTTTCAGTCTAACTTTTTTTGCCACATAACATATAAAAATATTATAATTCCAATGTTATTTAATTTTATGAGTTAATGATATAATGTGTCATTATATAATTAATCTTTTTATTAAAAAATTTACATATGATATTCTACTCATTTAGTACTATATTATATTTATTTAATATTATATTATGATTATAAATTTATAATTTTAAATTATATTGTAACTATATTATTACAATATATAACATATTAATGTAGCTAATAATTTCTACGCTTCTACACCATCTTTTGGGCTTGATTGTAGGCCCAAAAGGAAAACTGTCGGCTTGGACAGCCGGCCCAACAGAACGACATCTCTACTCTGCCTTGTCAATTAGCTCGTGTCTCACAAGTCACAAGCTGTGACTGTGAGACAATGAGAGGGACCCGCCATCAAACCGGCAAAACAAACGCAGCTTTCACCAATCCGCCGGCCTGCGTAGATTTTGAGTTTTCTACATTTCATCTACATTTGCATTTTTCATGAAGGAAATGCGATCTCTGTTTCTTGAAGCAATGCCTCCCATGGTTTCCCTTTCAATTTCTACCCGTGAACCCCATTTCTTATTTAGTCCCTTAACCTCGGTTCTAAGTAATCTCCCTCAACTACTACTCCTAATGACGTTCCAACGATACTGGACTTATCATTCACTCTCTTCTTAAATATGGGGTTTTCTCCCACTCTCCGATTGAACCCAGAGGACTCCTTTTAAATTCTTATTGATCCTTTCTGGGTTCTTGAGATTTTTGGATAGGATGAAGATATGGATGTGGATTTTTGCTGCTTTTGTCCTTGGGTTTGCTTGGAGTATTGCTGCTGAGCAGGGTCTTCGTACAGAGAGAATTTCAGGTATTTCTTTCCTTTGTAATGTTTATGTCGTAATTGTTAGCTCTTGGTTCAGTTCAGAGCTTTTCTTTCTTTAGTTTTGGTTGGTTTGAGTTGTAGGATATATTTGGATTCAGTTTGAGTAGTTGCCATTGCTACTACCAATGTTCTAAGTTGGATATTTAGTTCTATTCCATCATAAGAGTAGTGATAAATTCCACTTTAGTCTGGCATGAATGTGTATGAACTTGATTGTTTAGTGGTCAAATTATTTTTCTCTATGAACTTAAGGCATCATCTTGCACTTTGTACACCATAGTTCACCTGCATTAATGCATATCTCTTTTTGCTTAATCTTGAATATTGGAACTGGTCTTGGGAAATTGACCAACAAGAGATCGGAGAAGACAGATACTTGTAAGTTCTTTGAAGTTGCTCCCCACAGCATACCTAGGAGTTTTCATTCTGTCCTTTTTTATAGTCAAATTTGGCCTGAAATGTAATGAATTTTCAGCCGGTTTAGAAGTTTAGGAAATTTTATAAAGTCAATTTCAGCTTAGGCCATTCATAAGGTTCACTATTCATCTTTGTGGTTAATCACCTATATGGCTATATCATCCATGAGTAGGAATGAACTATGGACAGTTTAATACCTGCTTAGGCTTTCAGTTCTTAGGTCTCAGTGTTAACATCAAAATTGATCTAGTAGTTCACTACACTAACCAAACAAATTCTTCATCCTGCTTAGGTATATACCTGCATTCCCAAGAGATGTAATTGTTATTTTTTTTTTTTAATATGTAATTTTGTATGTCAAACCAAAGTTATAGATGTGCCATACTATGTCCTTGGTGTTGATATGCATGGGCTCAGGACATTTTTTACGAAGTTCAAACTAATGATTTCTGATTGATAAACAAGTTCAAGAAACTGGCTGATTTATAGTGCCTTAGGGAAATTTTACATTGTTTTGGTCTCTAAATTTTGGAATTGAAAATCTATTATTTTGGCAATGCAGGAAGTGCTGGTGATGTCTTGGAAGATGATCCAGTGGGAAGGCTGAAAGTTTATGTCTATGAGCTTCCAAGCAAGTACAATAAGAAAATCCTTCAGAAGGACCCTAGATGTCTCACACATATGTTTGCTGCTGAGATCTACATGCACAGATTCCTCTTATCAAGCCCTGTCCGAACCCTCAATCCAGAGGAAGCAGATTGGTTCTACACCCCAATATATGAAACCTGCGACCTAACCCCCAATGGCTTGCCCTTGCCTTTCAAATCTCCGCGGATGATGAGAAGTTCAATACAACTTATTTCTACAAACTGGCCTTATTGGAATAGAACAGAGGGAGCTGATCATTTCTTTGTTGTGCCACATGACTTTGGAGCATGCTTTCATTATCAGGTAGCTGTTTCACTCTTTTGGTGTGCAATTATATTTTGAAGATGATTTTAGAGTCATGGGATGATGCGATTCTAGAGAGAATTCAGAATATTTTGTTAAATTAGGAATTCTTAAAGGAACTTCTAAACCTCTTGAACCAATTCTTATTGACCTTCATTTTATAGAGTTGATTTTCTTGAATGTTATCTAGGAAGAGAAAGCTATTGAGCGTGGCATCCTTCCATTGCTACAACGTGCTACCTTGGTACAAACTTTTGGGCAACAGAACCATGTGTGCTTGAAAGAGGGTTCAATTACAATTCCTCCCTATGCCCCCCCTCAGAAGATGCAAGCCCATCAGATTCCACCAGACACTCCACGGTCTATCTTTGTCTACTTCCGTGGGTTGTTTTATGATGTGAATAATGACCCAGAGGGTGGTTATTATGCAAGGTATGTTTCTTCAGAACTTTTAAGAATAGTTTAGACAATGTTTCGGTAAATAATAATTTCTCTCAATCAAATTGGCCTTGTTTTATCTTGATATTCGACCAGATATGCATTCTTTTGGAGGTTCTAGGTAACTTGGTTCTTTTTGAAATGTACAATGAACTTGTAACCGAATGATATTAATTTGCTAGCAACCTTTTGGATCAAGTTAAGACAATCATTTAATAAAGACTGGAGCCCAGTTAAATATATACTACGTATGAGTAGAGAAAAAATACTTATCTTCTGAACTTTCAGTCTCACTCAATAGAACAGGATCCGCCCTCTATGACCCACCTGAGCTTCTGTAATTTACCATACCTCTTTAATTTGCATATGTTTCTTTTTGAAGAATAAAGTATTTTCTTCCAAAACAAAATAATTTTGCAAGCAGCCAAGAAGAACATGACCAGCCAAAACTGTCTAACTAACCTTCTGTTTTTTGGTCATCAAACCGGCTATGTCCAATTAACCTAGACCCATAGAAACTATCTACCCTCGACAATATTACAAGAAATACCCCAAGAAGCACAATGGTTTAATTTGCATTGTTGTATGCTATCTGGTAAGAAGAAAACTAACATGAGATTTTACAGTCTGGGTGTATCATTGAAAAATGATCTTATGCTTGATGTTTGTCTGGTTTCATCCTCGACCTCTAGTTGAGGACCTAAGATTGGCACCTGGACAGCTGTTGGGCTGAATGTGAATCGTTTCTGAATTCTGACCCTTTTGGTTGACTGACAGAGGTGCAAGGGCAGCTGTTTGGGAGAATTTCAAGAGCAATCCTCTCTTTGACATCTCCACTGACCATCCAACTACATATTATGAAGACATGCAACGAGCCATATTCTGTTTGTGCCCCCTGGGTTGGGCCCCTTGGAGTCCTAGGCTAGTTGAAGCGGTGGTATTTGGCTGCATCCCTGTCATCATAGCAGATGATATAGTTTTACCCTTTGCTGATGCCATCCCATGGGAGGAAATTGGAGTTTTTGTCGCAGAAGAGGCTGTCCCTAACCTGGATACAATACTAACGTCTATACCACCAGAAGTGATTCTAAGGAAACAGAGGCTTCTTGCAAATCCTTCAATGAAACGCGCCATGTTATTCCCACAACCCGCTCAACCAGGGGATGCTTTCCATCAGATACTAAATGGGTTGGCTCGTAAGTTGCCACATGACAAGAGTATTTACCTGAAGCCCGGTGAAAAGATTTTGAATTGGACAGCAGGACCAGTAGGGGACTTGAAACCTTGGTGATTCCATTCTTTCCCTACATCTAGCCCCTGGAGACGAATCCACTTGAGTTGGGTATTTTCCTATACTGTGAATTGTAAAATTTTCTTCCAGTATTGAATTTTGTAAAGGTACTGATGCTATACGCACATATCTAGACCTAGGTATATTACAACTTTAAATACTTCTTAATCCTTGGCCCTGGACAGAAACAATTGTTTCACTGCAAATTTCTATGCTATTTCATCTAAATTTTGGCTAAATTTGTGTTATCTTCAATTTTCAGAATAAAACACAGTATCGATTAGAGGGGAACTGAGACTTGAAGTTGATGAGTTTTGATGAAACTTTACCCTATAATCCTATGTCCAATGCATAAAGGTGCTTATTACATGGGTAAAATTGCAAAATTTCAACTCAAGAGAGTGTTTTTTTTTTTTTTTTTTAACAATTTTACAAGTGGTTAGATTCGAATCGTTGCCCAAGAGAAAAAAAATGTACTTTAACGTGACCTAATGTTACTAGATCCGAAGGATCAAGTGCAACTCAAGAAAGTGTTTTAACTAGTAACAGCTTAAAAAAGTTATATCCTCATGTTCAAACGTTATTCTGTTGGAGAGGAATTAAAGAAAGTGGAAAGTTAATCTTAGTGATAGCAACGGAGACTCTGGGGCTGGAGAGTTCCTCTTTATCCCCATTTTTGACCGGTAAAGGTTACCTCTAGTTAGTCCCTGCTATTTACAAGGATTTCTCGCTTCCTGCCAATATCTATTATAAATGTAAATTAACTATTTTTATATTAAGTACATATAAATTTTAATTTTTAAAGTAATTAAAGTTTTAATATTAAATTATATTATTTTATTTAATTAAAATTTAATTTAAAATTT